TGCCTGTGCTTGTGTCACTTCCTCTCTTCTTCTCAGGCAGGAGACTCTTTGGGCACCTTTTGACCTAACTTCACTGTTTAATTTTGGTGTGCCAACTTTCTAAAAAACTTAGTTTTTAATAAAAATATTTATTGAATGAAGTTAATTTTAAAAGTATCCTATATAAACCGTTAAATTTTATGCCTTTTTAGTTTAGAGTTTTTGTGGCGTGTTTTGGAAGTACTGTAGAAGAGTACTGTACAAGAAGAGTTCTAGGCATTTACAGTATTTGGAAAGTGAGGCTTATACAAAGATGTTGGAACATATTTTTCAAACACAACACAGCTTTTCAACAGAATATCAATTCTGTTTAGAAAGTTTCTGAAAATACCCAAATAAGGCAAGAGGCACGGGGTCAGAGTAATCACTGTGAAACTTGGTTTCTTTTTGTGCATTCTTGAAGTTAAATAGCCATCCTTGTCATACGTACATGGAGGTGAAAAAATTCTGGTGAGTAACAGCAATATGCCTACCTTGCTGGACTGCCCATGTCTTTCTCAAATAAACATTTTCTCTGGCATCATTGTGAAATGGAAGTCAAGCACATGCTGCGAAAGCTCTCTCAACTGACAATGTACAACAGCCATCCATTGAGTAGCCAAATATTTAAAACCATGCAGAAGAGAGTTAACTGATTATGTCAGGGTTTTCACAATTAGGAGAAGCAAGATGAAAAAACACCAACCAGCCTTACCATTTTCTTCCAGTGTTGGAGGAGGGAAATACAAAAGTGATGGATCAAAATCAAACAGATTTTCTTTTGGACTGACAAACCTCAGTAGAAGTGTAGGTGGTGTTTAAAACAGCATGCATTTTCCTCACAGTGGTTTCAAGAACTGATCTGTAAATACCATCTTACGTACTTGCTGCACATCAGGCCTCCAAAAGGACTGCTGTTTACATTGGTATTTTTCAAACAGATCTGTTCATTGGAAGTCTGCAGGGAAGTTCACTCCTAGCAGTTTGCTTTGTAAATTTGGAAGTGGTATTTCTGTGAATTAAGTTGATTCGAGCAAGTGGAGAGTACCTGACCTAATCATGTAGTTGTAGGAGGAAGTGGTTAATGGCACTGTCTTTCACTATGGCTTTTCTCTTTTGTCCTGTACTAGCAGCTAGTAATTTGAAAATGGCTTTTCATAATCTTTAAAGGGAGTCTGTAAAATGCTGGGAGCAGAGGGATGAGAGTTGGGGAGCATGACTCCTAAAATCACTGTTAGTTTTGTCTAGCTTGTATTGCTATTTTGAGTGGATGAGAATCAATTAGTGTGACAAAGGATCGAGATGAGGGAAAACAATGGGGAAAACAATGATTCATGCTCCAGTACAAACCGGATGGGTGTGGGGACAAAATTACAGTGTATAATCAACACTGCAACCGTTAGTTTGCCTGGTAGCAAACTCGTGGCTTAGGTTTGCCCTTTCTTTCTTAGCTGTAAGGGCTTAGGGAGCCCTCTGTTCAGTATGGTGGGGAATGATGGACCCACAGTAGATGCTGGAGTCTGTTGAGAGTGGATGAGGGGAAGCAGATAGGTTAAACATGTCTACAGATTTCAGCTGTGGCCCATGTGAAAGTTGCAGGGGTTCATTGTTTCAGAGTTTTTGTAGTTTGAAAAGCTTAGCTACTTTGCTGCTCTCAGCAGTTGAGCAAATACTATTTTCAGCTACTTTGAAGTAGGAAACTTGGGTTGAGAGGAGGGGTCTTTGATTTCAGTATCTGAGAGTCAGAAGTCTCTGGTTGAACCTGCACTCTCCTTCATGGCTAGCTTCAGAAACTTAACCTTTTTTACTTCTGATTTGAGAACAGATTTTGAAGAAACATGTGAATAGTTCGCTGCTATATGGGTCACAGAATTCTTAAATAATTCTTTGACCAACAGTTGAATCTTGTAACGGGAACAAAAGTATTGAGTTGATGGCAGTTCCATCTCCTGTGAACCAGAGGATGCTCTCTTGGAGTGTGGCAAATGGCTTGTGACTAAAAGTCTTCTCTGTGAGAAAGCTTCAGTTACTATTATTATGCTTTGTACAACTAAAATAGGAAAAGGCTACCAAAAGAACTCTTTCCATTTCTTTGACAGTTATGGGAGAGAAACACTTCAAAAGGGAAATGTAAAATTACAGAAGTTGGTTAAGACATTCAGATCAGCTACTCTACTTGACATTTCTTTAGGGTACTCAAAATCATTAATTTTAAATTACCAGATACCTTTGAATCCATTCTTTAAAAAGTTTTTATTGAAAATTTATAGATTTCTGTAAATGTATCCAAGAAAATGTGCGTTCTAACTGAAGGAAGAATCTGCAGTTTGTGTATTTTTTGTTTTAGAAGGGTCAAGGTTTTTTTGGTTGAGTCCATTTTTCCAGTAGTCTGAATAAATCCAAACCTAAAAATTGTCTTAGTGTTACATTGACAGAAGATTTTCTTAACAGTAATGCTAGTTTTCTTTATATACACTTCCCAAGAATTTGCCCAATGAGCAGGATTTCAGTGCGTGGAAGTTTTGAGCTGGATTACATAACCAAACAGTTTTTTTGTTCATAAAGCACAGTTTTCTGTTGTTCTTATATAGACAACGATTTGGACAGAGTTGTAGAAACTAGACTCGGACATAAACTAATATAAAAGAAATTATAGATTTTTCACTCACACGCTGATGTAAGTTTTAAAGCAGGTTTTGACGTGAAGTTTCATAAAGCTCCTTTTAGCTACAGAACTCTATACATAAATGTATTTTTAAAAGTTGCTTCTGGTTTTATATGATACAGGGTTCTATCCAGATTTATGGATGGAAATTTTGTTTGCTTTCCAGGTTCCTGGCAAGATTTCTGTGTACATTCATTGTGAATTACTAAGGTAGCAGTTGCTATTTTGCTGCAGTGCAGACTTGACCACAGTAATTCCTGTTTTATACTCTCTGCTCAGCTGGCCTGTCATACTGTCTTCAGTTGGGGCACATCCTAGAAGATTGTTGGGAAGTTTTTGGCAAAGCATCTGATAGTATAAATTAAACTTGACAGTATTTAGCAGGAAACATGCAAGTGCAGTCAGGATTGATGCTTCACTGTTTTATATTGACAAATGTAGAAGAAAAACAGAAGTCTTAGTGGGAACAGGAGCTTTGCTATGATAGAAGTAGAAGGGGAGATGTAAGGCTGCATTATTGGGCATGGTACCTTAAAACAACAGCCGGATGTCCATCAGAAAATGCCACATTGAGATAATGATTTTCACAGAGCTAGAATACAGCTGAGAATTACAACTCATACTGTCAACAAAAATATGTCTCAAGCTATGTGTGATGAAGAGTGTCAAGAGGGTCTAGCATGACTTACGTCCAGAAAGGTAAAGGGAGAACCTGTGACTGCGTAATTTTAAATTCTGAGCTACAATCTTAACTTAATGGGAGTTGAGTGAATTTTCCTGAATGGATACTGTTTTGATTCTCAGGGTAGAGAAACATAAATCTGTTGTCTTCACATTGGTTATTTGCCTTGTTAACCCTTTTCGGACAAGAGACTTAACACAATAGATTAATTTTTACCAAATAGGGAAAGTATGTGCTAAATTGCAATGTGACTATTGCACTTGTTTGCAGAATAAATGTATCTACGCAGATTTTGTCTTTTTCTTTTAATGTATTCTTCCTCTGTAAGAAAGATGGGTTTCTGCATTTAGCTATTATTTTTGCTGTTCATTTATTTTTTTTTACGTACTCATAAGAGAAAATGTCAATTTTTCCTATCAGTGAATTTTTCGAAACATTTATTTGTTACCATGTCTAGTTGCATTATGCTTGTGAAAAAAATATATTCTTGAAGAAATAGATAAAAGTTTTCAAGTTTTGGCATTTTTTTAAAAACAAAAAACATGTAGCTTATTCAAAATTACATCTCAGTGAAGTGAGATGAAAAATGATACTAGATCTACTGCACCCTAGGTAGCATATGATCTGCCAATATATAATAAGAGCACAATATGAAAAACACTTATTTATCAGACTTTGTGACACAGTTGGGAAAATAAAATAGTATGTCAGGTGAAATATTGGCATAAATGCTATTGGTCATAAACTATTTGAATATGAGAATAAGAAATGTAATTGGGAAAAATAAACTTAGTGAAAATCTGGTTATGGATAGTTTGTTTATTTCTCTTTTTTTCCTTGATAAATAGGATAAATAAATTCATGTTTTCCTTGAAATCTGTGGAAAATTATGTCACCCTGTTTATGTGACTCCTTGTCTCAAAGTAGACTTAATTGTTTTATGAATGCAGAAATAACTTACTGTTGAAAATATATTTGCAATATCCTATACAACTTATTAATGTGCATGTGAAATGTCGTTTTCAGGTGCTGACCTTAAAGAAAGGGCAAAAATGCACTCAAGTGAAGTTAGTTCTTTTGTCTCAAGAGCGAGAGCAACTATTAATGAATTGGGTATGTAACTTCTCCCTTGAACAATGTTGTTACGACGTTAACCTGAGATGGGTTAGACCAGAGGAATGGCATAACATGAGTAGTAGGGTGTTTAGCATCACAGATCTTGAATTGCAAGGGACCTATAAGGATTGTTCAATATATTGATAAATGTGAATAATGGTGCATTTATTCTTTTAAAATATTCCTAATCAAGTTGGGCTTTTTTAAAGAATGCTAGGAAAGAGCTAAGTCTCAGCTGAAGTAGATGTAATTTGCCATGCTATTTTCAGAAAGGATGGATTGTTCAGTGACATTCAAGTGCTTTAGAATTTAGTTTCTACTTTTGCATTCTTGTGGTTGGCATAATTAATACGGTTTACTACATTTTAGAAACATGATTGTTTGTACAGAAACATCAGCTGCTGATAGAAGGTTAGCTACTATGGCCTTCTCAAATTTTGTTTAATTTTAGACTTAGTAAACTTGTTCTGGTGTAGTAAAACCTGTTAATAGTCTGGGATTTTAATTGACTTGTACCAGTTTTTAATGATATTAATTTCTCTGTGAGTTTTACCTTATGAATCACCATTAAATAATTATGTTTCAACATCTCTGCTGATCAGTTTTAATGTAATTGTTTTTCAACAGGGTTTGCCAATATGTTCTATGGAAAGGAGAAGTCTAGTGTTCTGGTTTTGAAGCAATTAGTTTTCTACACTTAATCTCTTTATAAAAAGTATTGTCGTACTGAAATTTTTGGCACAAAACTATAAGGAATAAATAGTTTCTCAGAAAATGTTTAGATGTATTCCCATGAGAAGACTATGTCAAATCTTGGTTTGGCAGAATGTTATGAATGAAAACAAGTATGTTTTTTCAGGTAAATGACAACCTACTGAAGAATGAATCTTTGATTAGGTACTTCATGGAGATACTTGTGTCCTTGAGTGAATGTCATGTCTTTGAAGTGAAGTAGGCACTCAGGGCTCTTTGCATAAGTAAAATCTGTAAAATACCTAGAAGTGAATAGATCATTAATTTTATGCAGCCGATATTGTATGTCATAGTGGTGTTTGTCCTTTTATTGGAATGCCAATCAAGTGGCAACAAGTTGTTCCATTCACTTGCTTTGTAAGAATTTTGGGAGGCTTACTTAGCTCTAAGTAATAATTTTTCAGCCTTCCTTGGCCTGAAGTTACTGAAAATACTTTGAACTGCCATTAATGTTTAAATATGGGCAACTGGTTCAAAATTATACTGTGACTAGTAATGGTTTTTATTTTAATTCAGTTATTTCCAGATTTGTAAGTGAGAAGATTTGTAAAGTCTAAAGAAATATCTGGATTCAGCATTCTGCACTGAATGTCTGGAAAATATTCACAGTGATTTGATGATTTGTTTTGTCTCAGATTTGAAAAATCTTTGAGAAAAATGTTTGATTGTCTTAATTAAGTTTCCTGTGAGAGTATTTAACCACTGAATATGTAAGCAAATTTTCAGTGTTATCTAAAAGGTTTACACTGGATCATTATGAGAACAGTAAATTACTTAAAGTTTAGGGAACCAGCATGAGTGCTTTCATTCATTGATCTCTAGTCTCTTTCTCAAGAAAGAAGCGTGGAATTCTAAGCAAGTGGAATTAATATTTGAGAATCTAGGTCACTGAAATACCTAGCTGGGAAGGTTTGCATGGGGATGTAGTAATAGCAATTAAACATGCCACTGGTTGGAAATGAGAAAGAATTTGAACATATATCCCTTACCTGATACTGATATTTTCTGAAGGGTCTTTGCAGAGCAATTTAAAAATCATAGAACCATAGAATGATTTGGGTTAGAAGGGACCTCGAGGATTATCTAGTTCCAACTGTGGACAGGGACACTTGCCGCTAGTCCAGAGTGCTCAGAGCTGCATCTAACCTGACCCTGAACACTTCCAGGGATGAGGCATCCACAGCTTCTACAAGCGACCTTGTCACCACCCGCACAGTGAAGAACTTTTCCTAAAATCTAATCTAAGCCTACTCTCTTCCAATTTGTATCCATTCCCCCTTCTCCTGTCACTTCGTGCCCTTGTAAAAAGTCTCTATCTTTCTCATAGGCTCCATTCAAGTCCTGGAAGGCTGCAATTAGGTTACCCTGGAGCCTTCTATTTTCTAGGCCAAACAATCCCAATTGCCTCAGCCTTGCCTCATAGGAGAGAGGTTCCATCCCCCTAGTCAGCTCTGTGGCCCTCATCTGGACTTGCTCCAACAGGTCAATGTCCTTCCTGTTCTGGGTATCCCAGAGCTGGATTCAGTACTCTGGGTGGAGTCTCGCTGTGTTGTTCCCTGCTTCAAGAACTGGTGGAGTATATAAGAAACCCCCAGTATTTATGAGATTAGATTAGATGGGTGCACAAGGTGTCTCATTCTGTGATGCCCTTATGAATAGCAGTGAACATTAATTTTGTAGCAAGTTAGAGGTTCTTAGTTCTTTTTTTCTTCTGAAGACGTGATCTGACATTACCGAATGCAGTTTATATAGAACTGGGGGGACATTATATTTGCATTTGGCTACTGCAATGAACCTGTATGCTGAAAATAATAATGTTATTTTTCCTGCCCAGCAACAACTAGAATGTTGTGAGACGGCTAAAGAGAGGAAGCAATTTTCAAATTGGTATTTGCCACTGCAGAATGTTACATAGCCAGGGAACAGTATTTCCAATCTCCTACTTTGTTCTTTCTCTATTCGAGTTTAATGCGGTAATCTCATTTAAAATGTATTCTAGTTCTTGCTTTTCAGAACTAGGTCATGTTTTGATAATTGCGTTTGTATTCAGATGTGTGACCTAATAAGGAGATGCTTCTTTTTAACAATATTTTCAGAAAGAAGATCATTAAGTTATCTTTATAAACAAAATACACTAGAGGTTAATTATGTCTTGAACAAGTGAATAAACTAAGCTTTTTAGAATTGACATGCTTTGGCTTTCTTTAGGTCCTGTCAATTTCATTATATTTAAAAGCCTTACGCTAGTGGTTTTGTTAAAAGCTGTAAGTATCATTTTGGAAAGAGAATTTTCTGGAAATTAAAAGCATACTGCATTTGTTTATATGGGATTAATTTATAACTTATTCTAAATTTGGGTGAAGGAGTAAGACTGCAGTAAATAACACTTGGTTTGAAAATAAACACGTTAAAAAAGAGCAGAAAAAATTAAATGGAGCCATTATTTGCAGCACTTAGAGCTTTAAGCTGGGGGAGGGGAATCTAAGCAGCCTCTATTTTTAGCAGTGGTTGCTTTTGCTAAAATTATACCAGAATTGTGGAGGTTTGTTTGGGGTTTGGGGTTTTTTTGTGTGTGTGTATATGTCTTTGGGTTTTGGTTTGGGTTTTTTTTGTCATTTAATTGTTTGGGATTTTTATAGTAGGAATTATAAGACTAGTCGTCCATTACTATGTTCTGTCTTGAGGCACTTCATTACTGGTATAAGGCTGGCTTTACCCTCAAGAAAGTAGGAGAGAAAAGCCTTTATAGATCTCTTGTAACCATGTACAACAAGAAAGGCCTGCATAAATGAAATCAAATGATACTGACCTCCAGAAGTCTTATTTTTGATGCTTTTTCAGATCTTCAGCATGGTCTGACTCCCATTAAGTCCATGCTGTTCTTTATGTCGTCTGTGGGATCTGGGTTGTGATATTACCATTGTATATATGTTATCCGTTGGGATTTCAGTTGCAAAACATCTGAGGCTATGGAGCTGAATGTGAACTCCTCCATTAAAACACTTTGTTCAACAGAAAGAAAAAGTGAAGCTGCAGAAAGAACTTCAACTCAGCAAATTCTCGTAATTACTCAGAGTGACATTTGGCCACAACCTCTAGTAAGTGAGAAACACCATTGATTAGCAAAGGTCTTCCAAAGAATGTAGGCATAAGTACTCAAGTCCTACAAATGGAGTAAAAATTGGAGACTGACTTTCTCGGTTACTTTTTAAATTAAAGTGTGCTCAAGCTTTATTTTCATTTCACATTTAGAGACAAAAGACCTTACTCATGGCCTTATGGAACATAGATCTGAATTGAGTTAAGAATGACATTTTAATGAAATACTAATATTAGTTGTTTTCTGTTGGTCATGTTGCATTATAACAAACCTTTGTTAAAGACATCTGATTAGTTTTGATGTACAAGGTGTGATATAACTTTAATAAGTGGTGCTACTTATTAACTTTGTTTCTGCATAATTTTAATAGAGTTGATTAGTTTTAGCATAGTCCAGTTTGAATGAGATCATCCTGAATGAAAGCACTTTGTGGTCAGTTGCTTGCATTTGTGTGTTTTATTGTGTTCTTTTTATTTTATTCAAAGAAGAGACAGATTTATGCTTTTTCCTTCCTTAGCATTTTTTTCTGTCATTTTGCCTTTTTTTTTAAAGTTATTACAAAACTTTTATTGTACCTAAAAGAGTGCTCTGGTTGTTCTTTCTGGAGAACACCCTCTTTTCCAAAAATTTCGTATGTTGACTATTGAAGATCATGCATTCTTGGAAAATACTTGGTTGTGCCACATTATACGCTACAGTTTGGTTTTGGATGCAAGCTGTCAAAACATGGTCTCAGAGGTCCCAGGAAAGCTAACTGCCACCCCACTTTCCCATTGTGAAAGTATTAAAAATAGGCAAGAATAATCGGTGAGGTCAGTGCAGTGCCATATTTTACTACTTGAGTTTCTGGGGCTTCTGTGGAGCTTTGTTTAGCATCTAAAATCCTGGTTTAGAAATGAACACTCCAGGCCTGATTAGTGCTCTGAGAAGTGACTGCTTATGTAACATTTACCAAATCCATCCGTGTTAGCTGGAGGTAGATTTGGCCATCAAAGACAGAGTACTCTAGTTTGGAAATCCTTTGATAAGACCTATGGATTTATATTTTAGGGAATAGAGATACAGTTTATAACTTGGATTCCCTGTAAAGCTAATGAAATTTCAGAGATAGATAGCAAACTTGAAGTAGGACAAATCTGCAGCC